CGAATCACCGAAAAATCCGATTTATTCTTATAATCCAAATGAATCGACGCCTATTGCCGTGATATCCTACTCAGAACGGCAAAAACGAGCATGAGGGTATTCTGCTGGCCTGACAATCCTGCTAGAATGGAGATGGGCAGTTGAACATGGAGGGCCGTTCGACTTAGTACCAAGGCGACCTGTGCATTTCGCATGAGAAGCGCTTTCCGGTCTATCTTTACGCGAAACAAGTCCGTTCTGCATCGGGGTAGGCAAGCTTGAACCGGGTGAGCTCATTGCACCAGACGGAGGGGTCAGTGCTGCTCGTGAACCCTCCTCACCTGTAGCTGTCAACGAGTTAGCACATGTGAAGAAGAGACTCGAGGACAAGCCCAAAGGCTATAACCAGGTCAGCCTTATATGCAGGAATACAGGCCAACTCGCTGCTGCTTCATCTCTTCTTTACACCATCCTCAAGAGCAATATGACCCCGACGGTAGCAAAGCAATTCTACTCTTCTCATAATCACCTGTCTGCACCACTTATGAAAAAGGAACCAATCATAGGTTTGCGATTCTGGGAATCATGGTACTGGAGCTTAAAGAAGTGTGAAAAAAGTAATTCGCAGGCCAGACGAAAAGTACAACTGGTAGAATCATGGTTGTATGAAATAAGACCTGTAGTCTTTTTTCTTAGATCATAAAAAGACGAGTAGGCGTTTACTACTATCAAAACTCTATCAATAAGACACGTTGGGAACGGAGGCAGGAATGGATATGAAATATTAATCAGTTTCACAAGCCTAACACATCAAGTTCGTTAGATTGTAAGACAATTTTGCATTAGAGAAGTAAAAGCCTTTTATGAAAAAATGGTAATGTAAAAATATCAGAACAAAAATAGAACTTTTTAAGTTAAAATCGAAGTTGACTTTTTTACTCATGAGTCTTGTCCAGAAAATATAAGTAGCATCATTGTTAAAAAAGGAATTACACTGTATTTCATTTAAACTATTTTTCATTTAGTGAAATTAAGTGCCTATATTTTTTTAAAAGAGTACAGTTACGAGAGCATTGTTTATATATTTATAATATTTTGCTTATTTAAAAATATTTGACACAAAATAAAGAAGCTAGGAAGAAGTATACATGAGATAAAAGGAGGAAAGATTTAATGAAATTCAACCTTCCATTTTGTAGAAATTTTACACAAAAAGATTAGCAAATCGGCCTAACCCAAACCTGATGGAAGATTGCCTAGGCGCTATTACTATTGAGTTTGGCGGTAAAGTCCTTGAGGCAACGGTTTTTAATCTCAACCCATCCATGCCCAACATATACCTGCATGTTCTGCCGAAAAAGAGATCGTCAGAATGAGCAGGTATTCTTAAACATTATTCAAGAAAAACCGATTCAAGAGCAGTGTCCATCTGCAATGCTTTCTGCTTCTTGAAACCTAACTTTGCTACCGTGATTAATACACCCGATTATATATTCGGCTAATTTATACCTCCTTATATCACAACTTAATTAAATTTCACATTATTATCGTATTGAAAAATGCTTACTGCATTGTGGCATAGATCATTTCTGCAGATAAAAGATAAGCAATTTAAGGTACAATAGAATTTATCGAATCAAAATAATGACAACAAAATAATAATGAGTCTTTTAAAGAAAGAATTTATAGGCTAGAAATGTTAAGTCTATCAAAAATAACATC